GACCTCACTCATTCCCCAACTTGGACACTGAAAGTAAGTGTCTTCCCTGTTTGCCAAGAAATGATAAACCAGTGAATAGGAGGCGATTGTCCTTGCATTCCCCTCTGGTATGCCAAAGGTGCAGGATTCAAATGACTAGTGCAATTGAATATGCTTATAAGCTTATTCACTGTATTTAATTAAAAGCTATTCAAATTACTCACTAATAATACAACTGAGAAAATTCAGAAATAAAATTCTATACACCTATTTTATACTATATGCTATATTTATAAATTCCATTTGGCCATTTTAATATAGGGCCATTTATAGGCAGGTAATAGGCCAAGTGACCAATACCAAAAGCATAGTAAAACAATATATTACACCATTAAAACTTTACTATCGTAAATATATATTATTAAACATTTTATATTTACAGTGTGCTTTGAATTTTACAATTATACTTGAGCGCAATGTTTTAGTAAATTATAGACAACTTTATAACAAGAAAATTATGAAGAAACTTTAATGACTTCATAGTTGACGTTTGTTCGATATTGTTGCTTACTTCTACTTTATAATTGTCCATTTTGTTATTTTCTTTCTTTCTGTTTGCAAATTATCTCCATTAATCCATAGAAAACAAGCATCATACGTTTGTATTTTTCGTAGTTCGAACACGCACTCCTTGAAGGCAGCCATATTGCCGAATATAAACAACCACTTGATGAATAAAATTTTCATACTTCACTCTATTTCCAACGACCAATCAAATAACTTCTGCCTCGGCTTGTCCCAGGGCTTATGGCAACGCAGGCAGCCGAGAAGCCCTGGGAACGAGGATGCGGCTATGGTTGCAACTAGACTAGTCCCCAGTCCTCTGTGCACGTCCTTATTGTCCCGTTACGTTGAATACTGGGTTGTAACTTGTTTTAAAAGAATCTCCACAGTACGACCTTCAGGTCTAGAAAATACATTTCCCTTCCTAAATGAAAATTTCCTGTAGATTTCATAGAGTAGATTTCATAGAACGTATGGTGTGGCACATTGACATTGTGCTAACTAATTCAATCTCGAACTTTTAAACAAAGTAAAATTGCATTCCAGTTTACAAGACTTGCTCATCAGCACAACGGCGCAACCAATGACTTGGACATGAAAGAACATTCTTCCTTCAGATACGGTTGAAGAGGAAAGTAGGCATAATAAACACGCTATAAGCTCGTAAAGGACAAGACGAAATACAGTGAATAGGATTTAATCCAAATTTATTAAAATTAATTGTTTTGGGATAAATACACCACAACACAGTTACATTTAAACACAGTTACATTTAAACACAGTTACATTTAAACACAGTTACATTTAAAAACGTTGTTTGCGATGGTGCTCTGAGTGTATATCCACACCGGGCAGGCTAGAAAAATATGCCTGGCCACGGTGGGAATCGAACCTACGACCTTTGGAATACTAGCGGATGCCAATGTGTGGATATACACTCAGAGTAACATCGCAAACATCATATTCACCTGAGTACACAACACCAACACAGACAAAAATCATTTAAAAACGTGTCAAGTTAAGGAACGTATCATTTCATTGAATCAAGAAATTCCTTCATTAAATAGTTAATTTTGTTATATGTAATAATATATAGCTTTCCGTAGGTCAAATTGACATAATATATATATTGCGAACTAGAAAAATTAGTCTGGCATTAATTTTGTTATTTTATACGGACGTGTGTTTTATCACAACATTGCCGCTAAAGTTTCTACATAAAACGTTTTTCCCAATCTAAAACTAATATAAACATGTCATTTCGTCATCGAGCTCAATCACGTGGCAAAAGTGAAGTATCCCAGAAGATTTCCCAGAAGCACACGGATAAAAGTCTCATAGTTTGTCAACAGGACGTGTTCGCACTGCTTGTTCCCAGTTGTTGGCAAGTCTGGAACAAATGTTGACTCGCAACAAGTTGTTCCAACAAGTGTCTGCACGTAACAAGTTCTTATGACGATACCAAGCTCGTAGCAACTTGTTACGAACAGTCTTGTTGGAACAGCCTGTAGCAAGTCTGTTACGGTCATCAACCTTGTAATAAAATGATACCAACTTGTTCCAGACTTGTCACAATAACTGGGAACAAGCAGTGCGAACACATCGTGATATCGTCTTGACAACAACCTTGTTACATCTTGTTTGGAGATCTGGAACGACTTGCGCTTTCTTTATATACGTGTGCGCCAACAGGTACAGTGCTGATTCTCTTGAGCCTGCATGCTCAATGTCAGAGGCCCGCAATTGACCGTGCTACATTCGATGTGCTTGATGAGGGACTGGATACCAGTCAATACTAACCAATCAGATTTTATCACTAGCCTCGACATCAGTCAATACTATCCAACACGGAACTATTGCTGGCTCAATATTCACCAACCACATTCTCATAAACTATTATTGACCTCGATACTGTTTCCTAATCATGAGCTATCACTGGCCTCGCTACTTGCTACTGATAGTGGCTTCATTACACAGGCTTTGTTAGCGAGTTCCAGTAAGGCATCGGCGCCGACGATGTCGTCATCATTTTTAGCATCAGGCCGTGAGAGTTTGTCGCCATAACCGCTATCTTCGAGCGCATCGTTTTTAATTAGCGTTTCCATAGCTTCGTTTTCATGATCATCGTCAGACTCCGAACAACGATCAAATTCGTATTCACTGTCCATTGAAGAACTTGGTGAAATCCTGTCTGACAAATGCCGATGTTTGCGTTTGCTAAAAAATCAATGAAACAGTTCATTTGTGTTTTATAAATTTGCCTAAAACTGTCAAAACTTGAGTTGTACTGTGTGTGTAACTCATAGAAATAATAGATATCTATTATTTCTATGGTGTAACTCAAGCACACAACTCGCTTACATTGTTGTAAATGAGTTGTCTGCTTGACTCAAGATGTAAGCAGGTTCCATGCGACAGTTTTAGGCAAAAGTTGTTATAAGTGTAAATCGACTTTAAGTTTAAGTGCTAAATAAAAATGTTTACACAATGGACCTTTCCCCTTATAACTAAAATTTCGATCTAGACAAAAATTTCATCACAGCTTGAAAGAGCATCACAAAATTAGTAATATTCCAAAGTTTCGTTGCAAAATCTAGTAAAATGCGGATAATAGAGCCTTGCGAAGTTTGCCGTTTTTCAGTCATTTTGTATTACAAA